CTACTTCTCTTACGCGGCTTTTTGTCCTTTTTCTTCTTCTTTTTCTTCTTGTCCTCTTTCTTGGCAGGGACTGTCTTTTCTGGGTGCTGGAATGCGCAATCTTTGCCACGGTGGCAGTGACCAGCCTTCCAGAACTTGCAAGTTTCTTTGCGAGAGCATGGAGTGAGTGATCTTGAACGTGACTGACTGCGATCCTTGCCCTTCCCCTTTCCTTTGCTTTTGTCGCGGCCTTTCTCGCGCTTGTAAGGACATGATGCCCCACGTTTGCATTTTCCGGTCTTCTGGAATTCGAAAGCTGTGTCTTTGGCCCCGAGCGAACGAAGCGCATCTTCTCAAGCCTCTTGCACTCGAGATAGGCCCTTGAAGCCGTGATCAGGAACTCATACGATCTCTCTCTTCTGCCTTCCGCAGCCCGATCGTAAAGAGCAAGATCATGTTCAAGTGGCTTGAAGCGCTTGACCGCGAGATGAAAATAGGCTTCAAGAACATTGTCTTCTGGTTCCTTTTTCATCCCTGCCAACACGCTATTATTGTTGATGAACCCCTTCAAGTCATCATTGACCATTTTCACGGACATCAAGTCTTCCAGTCCGTAGATCGCACCACGTTTGATGCTGGTGGCGAAATACTCATGAAAGCGCAACAGCAAGCGCCTACCCTTCACAGGCTTCTCTTCTCGCGCCCGCACTCTTTGAAGGTGGCGATCTGACGACCGAGGTCCCCCTCAGCGCAATTAGTCAAGCTGGCAAGCAACTTGGCGTTGAATCATCGAGCGCGTCAATGGTCTGAGAATCGGCATACACTTTGCCTACTACCAAGATCCTTGCTTCATCCGGCTTCGCTGAAGCTGCAGCAATGTTGTCCCGCACCTTGGTCTCCCAATCACGATACTTGTCCGGTGTGGGGAACTTAGGACTCAGGATCTTGTCAGCCTCTTTCAAGGCCTTAGTGTCACGATCCCTGTCCTTAGCTTTCTTCTGCTGCTTCTTCAGCTCCTTGCGGATGATGCGAGCCAGACGCGATGATTCAGAACTTGAGTCATCAGAACCGCTGTCATTGTCAGACGAATCGGATGGCGGCGGAGAAGGAGAACGCTTTTTCTTCCTTTCTTTTGATCGTCCTCTTCTAGGACTCTTGTCCTGTTTCTTCTCCTTTCTCTTTTCTTTCTTGTCCTTCCTGGACTTTCGTTCCTCCTCTTCGTCAGCATGAAATAGGGATGAGGCTCTCCTCCACCAGGATTCCCGGACTTCTCCCGAGTGCGAAGACTCGCAGGAGGCATAGCTGGGGAATCTGGAGACCCAAGCGGCTGCACTGGAGATGCAGGCACTCGGATCCCCGAGGCGTTGTCAAACCTATCTCTCTCAACTCTTTGATGATTCGACTCTGCTCAGCGATCGGACCGGAGGGCATCCTCTCTTTGCCTTGCAAACGCCCTTTCACTCTCTACGACTGAATGTCTTTCAAAAGCGATTCGATCGAGGTAAGCCCTTTGGTCTTGCAACTGTTGGGCTTGATGGGCTGATGGGCTTGGTTCATGTCGTTCATTCCCTCAACGAAAGCTCTAGCCTCGTCGGCTGTGACATCCCTAAACTGCCTAGCTTCATCAACAAACTGTTGCCCGCGTTCGGCCATCAAGGCTGGATGCCTTAGCTCAGCAATCTGAGCCACCTGTGCTGATCGATCTTGGTTCACGAAGATTGCTTGTTGATGAACTTGTCGGGCATCAACATTTTGCACATTCAACACTGGCGACGTTTCGACGCCGATCGGAGACGGTCCGGGAACAGTAGGCAACAGGTTCCCCTGCGCGATGGACGATGGAGGCTCAGGAGGCCCACGGAGGTCCAATGGCGAAAGAGGAAGTTCTTCTGGTAAGGAACTAGACATTGCAGGGGACGTCGGAACATATCCTGACCTGGGGCGATCGTCACGGGAACGGTCCTCGCCATCAGCCATGGTCACTGCACCACCTACGGTGGAGGTGACCTAGGCTACAATCAAGCACGTACCGCACTTATGGCGATACGGCTGATAACCTGTAGTTACAGGCAAACGACCGACTAACCCACTAAAGGGCACCAACAAAAACTCATCCTTAAGGTCTTTTCTGGGGAACTTGTTGCTAGAATCAACTTTTCCAGAGGTGCCCTTTTTGCTGCGAGATGGCCCGGCCCTCAAACAAAGCACAAGAGGGCACCAACCCAGAAGTGCGGCTTGAAGGTTTTTCTTTGCCTGCATCTAGATCTGCAAAGCACGCCGTCTTTCCACACCTGCATCGACAAAGCAGCGGCTCGCCAGACTAAATTCAAAAGCTCAAAGATGGATGGATCTGCCATGTCCTGCTTTGTCAAGGGGTTTGTCGCCAGAACCCGCTTTTCAGAGGTGTACTCTTTTGCCCCAACACGTCCTTCAAACAAGGCGCCAAAACTTGGCAAACTTGGCTAGGATCCACTTTTTCATGTGTGCCCTTTGTTCCCCGAGACGGCCTTCAAACGCCAAAGCGCATCAACCAAGAAACTCCGACTCCCTGCATATAGACCTACAGTACTGTCTTTCCACACCTGCACCGACAACTCGTCTCAAGCAGCAGCCAAAGGTCCCGCGACTTACAGGTTTGCCCCCACAAATCTGCAAAAACTCATCTCAAGCAGCAGCTCGCAAGATTCAATTAAGATGTTTGAAGGTGCATCTGCCATGTCCTGCTTTGTCAAGAGTCTCGTTTGCCCCGAGACGGCCTTCAAACAAGGTGCACAAGGGCACCAACAACTAGACGACGAGTGGCCCGAAAGCATTTTCCATCACGTAGGAAGTCAGAGTGTGAGTTATCTGTTAAGTGTTCAGTGTGAAGTGTTTAAGTCGAGTGAGTTGAGGTAGTGTGTGGGTCGCTGTGTGTCCGAGTAAGTTGAGGCAGTGCGTGGGTCTCTGTGTGTGATGTGTGTGTATGAGTCCCTGTCTGTGTGTGTGTCCATGTCTGCTGCTGGTGAAGGTCTTCACTGTAGTGAACGAAGTAGCGCGCAGGCCTCCCAAACCCCCCACCGCCGGCCAAGCGGTGACAGCCCAGCTCATCGTCGTGAGCATTTGAGCTCATCGTCGTGAGCATTTGCGCACCGCGTCCTAGAGTTGTATTACAAAGCCGCCACTTCTCATCTTCCAGCTCCCCAGATACTGAGTGTGCTAAGGTTGTACTACAGAGTCGTCAGTTCTCATCTGGCCGTCCCCAGATACTCCGCGTACTAAAGTTGTACTACCAAGTCGCCAGTTCTCAACTTCCAGCTTTCCAGATACCCCGCCTACTACAGTTGTACTACCAAGTCGCCAGTCCTCATCTTCCAGCTCCCCAGATACTCCGCGTACTAAAGTTGTACTACCAAGTCACCAGTCCTCGTCTTCCAGCTCCCCAGATAGTTGTACTACAAAGTCGCCAGTTCTCATCTTCCAGCTCCCCAGATACTCCGCGTACTAAAGTTGTACTACCAAGTCACCAGTTCTCGTCTTCCAGCTCCCCAGATACTCCGCGTACTAAAGTTGTACTACAAAGTCGCCAGTTCTCATCTTCCAGCTCCCCAGATACTCCGCGTACTAAAGTTGTACTACCAAGTCGCCAGTTCTCATCTTCCAGCTCTCCAGATACTTCGCGCACTAAAGTTGTACTACCAAGTCGCCAGTTCTCAGCTCCCAGCTCCACAGATTGCTCCGCGTACTAAAGTTGTACTAGAAACTCGCCAGTTCTCAGCTTCCAGCTCCACAGATTGCTCTGCTTACTAAAGTTGTACTACAAAGTCACCAGTTCTCATCTTCCCACTCCCCAGCTACTCCGCATACTAAAGTTGTACTACCAAGTCGCCAGTTCTCATCTTCCAGCTCCCCAGCTACTCCGCGTACTAAAGTTGTACTACAAAGTCGCCAGTTCTCAGCTTCCAGCTCCACAGATTGCTCCTTGTACTAAAGTTGTACCAGAAAGTCGCCAGTTCTCATCTTCCAGCTCCCCAGCTAGTCCGCGTACTAAAGTTGTACTACAAAGTCACCAGTTCTCATCTTCCAGCTCGCCAGATACTCCGCGTACTAAAGTTGTACTACAAAGTCGCCAGTTCTCAGCTTCCAGCTCCCCAGATACTCCGCGCACTAAAGTTATACTACAAAGTACACCTCTCGCCTGCATTTCGCGGGCTCGACACGCCCGATCTCCGCAGAAGGTTGCGCGCGCACAGACCCAATCGCACTCTCGCCTGCATTTCGCGCACTCGACACGCACGATCTCCGCAGAGGGTTGCGCGCGCACAGACCCAATCGCACTCTCGCCTGCATTTCGCGCACTCGACACGCACGATCTCCGCAGAGGGTTGCGCGCGCACAAACCCAATCGCACTCTCGCCTGCATTTCGCGCACTCGACACGCACGATCTGCGCAGAGGGTTGCGCGCGCACAGACTCAATCGCACTCTCGCCTGCATTTCGCGCACTCGACACGCACGATCTCCGCAGAGGGTTGCGCGGGCAGCCGACGCGCGGCACTCTCGCCTGCATTTCGCGCACTCGACACGCACGATCTCCGCAGAGGGTTGCGCGGGCAGCCGACGCGCGGCACTCTCCCCTGCATTTCGCACACTCGACACGCACGATCTCCGTAGAGGGTTGCGCGGGCACCGGACAAATCGCGCTCTCGCCTGCTTTTCGCGCACTCGACACGCACGATCTCCGCAGAGGGTTGCATTTTCGGTTGACGCTGTTCGTCCCACCCTCCGCCTTTAAGAGAGAATTTATAAAGTGGGGAAATGTTTTTCATTAGGACATCTCCCGTGCTAGTTTTCCATGCGCACACTTGCATGCTCATTGCATGCTGGCATACTCATTGCATGCTTGCATGCTCATCATTGCACTTGCATACTTTGACGCTTGCATACTTTGCACTTGGACGCTTTCGCTCTTCCACTTACACTGGGGTGCGTATAGCGTTCATGTTGTAGTGCAACTGTGGAAATGTCAGTGTGTAAGTGTAAGTGTCGAAGTGTCAGCGTTCAAGGGATTTTCCGGAAGAACCCTTCGCAATGCTTTCGGGAAAAATCAATCCTTAATTTCTTTTCTGGGTGAACTTGGTGCCAGAACCCACCTGTTCAGAAGAGCCTGCACCCTTTTTGCCTCCAGATGGCCTTCACGGTTTTTCTGGGGGAACAGGCAAGTCATTGTTTCCGTGTCCCGCTTTATCAAAGGCCTTCTCGCTAGAACCCGCTTTTCGGAAGTCTCCTTGTCTGCCGCAGCACGCACTTAGAGACTCAAGCACCACGCAAAAGGGCACCAACCCAGGAATTTGGCTTAGGGGCTGTTCTTTTTCCCGGCTGGTGGGCAGAAGAAACAAAGCCCGAAGGATCTCTAAGCTTTCCTGCTATGGATCCAACACCTTCACAACCTAGTGACACGGAGAAAAAGGGTTATTCTCTGCTTGCTTCAACTATGACAAGAATTCTAAGGCAAGCTAATCTGAAGATGAGGCAAATGGGGTAGAGGTTTTGATGAAGATTGAGAGAGAGAACTAACAGATTCTGCTATTTCATCAGGCGGCAACTAAAAAGAACAAATTATATACATACAAAAGGTAAAGCTAATACAAGGCCGGCGCTCTGCATCCAAATCCAGGGAGGTCTCACTATCCTTCCTTTCACTCGCGGCTTGACTTCACGCATGGCTTGACCACGAACTAAAACGACAATATTGCAAATCAAGTATCATACTGGAGCCAACAAAATTTCCAAAGCACTCCAAAAAATGCAATCATGTCCAGTTGATTATGCAAAAAATGCTGGCATCAAGTGTTGCGGCATCATTCGCATCACAAGGGCATTTTGTCAATCCATTAAACAGAGCTTTAGCCTGGCCTATCAGCTGGATTTCGTAAGATCACCATGGCCGGTTTTGTGTTATGGGCACCACCACCCGTGCAAGACACGTCCTGCGCTACCGAAGTGCCCCGTATTCCCATTGCTATCCCCACCTGCAGGGAACAGGCACAAGAAGAAGGGAAGCAACACCAGCACAAACCTTGACAATCTTTGGCCTGAGCTTGCTTCAATGCAGGCGCGTCATTGACACCGTCACCAGTCATTGCAACAATGTCACCAAGACCATCTTGACCATAAAACTGATAAGCCTCAGAGCTGCAGTGCAAGTATATATATATATATGTACAGGGGAAAGAGCTAGGGAAAGAACAAGCAGTTACCGAAACAAGTTTGCATATAATGTCGCAAAGTTCGGAGGAAGGGTTCACAGTTGAAACCTATGTCTGACACACTGACACACTTACTATTTATTTAGAAGAAGGGTTCGCGGTTGAAACCTATGTCTGACTGTCTGAAGCTGCAATAAGAAGAGACCAAACGTGCACAAACCAGGAGCATAGGCTAATGCTCATGCACAGTGCCGAAAATCTAGTTCGCTTGGCAACCGAGTGTCAGGTGCGCAACGAAAACCAACTCCGCCCAAATTCATTTGGATTTATATACCCTATTTGTTGCGCCCTGTGGTGGGCACGACACTCTGCTGTGATTCTCGCTGTCGACTTGTGGAAGGCATTCCTCTTGCGTGAGAGAGTCCAGAAATGCAATCTACATCCGTGCCATCACACCATCGCACAAAACCCTTGCAGTTGCAGTGGTGCCCACCCACCCCTACTCCATGTTGCTGCTCACCAGGCATGTGCCTGTCATGAACACCTCTGGCCCAGTTTCTGTCTTGGAATTCAAGACAGCCCATTTCAGCCATAGCTGTTCAGCTGTTCACTCGAGCATTCGCCCGAGGAGCTGTTAGGGCTCCTCTGACACCATGCTGTGGCTGTTGAGTACCCACCATGGGATCTGATGATACAAACCTAGGTGTCCAAGCCTTAGACCTCTGAGAAGCCAATACTAAGTTCAGATTCAATTCAGAGGCATCTGCGATAGCTATCACCAAGAGACCTGCACGATGATTCGCTTGTGGAGGGGGGACACTCGCGCAAAGACCCTGCGGACGGATTGCAGGTATGTCTGGAAAGTGCCACGTGATATTTCCAGCAGAAAAGAACATGCATGCGTGTGAAACAAACACTACTGTGCCTCAAGCCTGAACATGTTCAAACCTCATCATGACAAAGTGTAGAAAAAGACTTAATTGGACGCCTCGCACGTTGAACTGCTTGTTGCCAAAACGCCTCCAAAACAACAGCATGTTCCATGCTTCTTCTTGCCTGCAATTGAGAATGTGCAAGGAACTGTTTCCACCTGTGAGCTCGCAGAGAGGCCGTTGAAATCTTCTTCCGGCAAATGAGAATCCAGGTCCTCAAGAGAAAAAGAAATGAAGGAAATGACAGTAAAAAATGAATGAATAAAGTGTTGAGCATACCAAGCAATCATTGAACCAATCACGCTGATATTATAACGTCCATGCATGTCCAAGCGGGGAGCATCACCTTCCAAGACCTCGGGTCCAAAGAACAAGGTTTATTTGCAAGCTAAGTGACAGAGTCATCATTTAAAAATGAATGGCCAGCATGCAGCACAGGCCTTGAAAGACTCCGACTTCTTTCCATCATCTTCTTCATCTTCCCCCAAAATTGAGACACATTTTGCGATTGCCCTGGCGGTGGCTGGGTGGTCACCAGTCACCATGACCACCTGCAGTTGTTTCTGCAGCATGCCAGTGCTTGCATCCAGAATGATGTGAGAACTGCGCATGGTGGCATAGTAGAGACTCCAAACCCTGAAGTGAATGTCTCAAGGTTTCAACGCCCCTGTCGTACTGGCCTTCACCCCTGCATCCTTACATTTCATCACTGCTTGCTTCACGCCATCTCTTGGTGGGTCCTGGCCCAAGAAAAAAACAAAACTCCAGAAACAAATCGGCCAACAGTTATTGGATTGGAGCAAAAGAAGCCTCGATAGCAAAGAAACCCAAGAGATCAAAGCCGGAGACCGGGAAGTTGCAATCGCTCAGAGCAGCTCCTGATGAGGCCAGGCGATGAACGCGTTTACATAAATTTCCCAAGACTCAATCCACCCAACGACTTTTGGTTCAATCGCTGATATTGTGACTCGTTTGGAAATGATTGAGTCAAAAAACGTTTCTCTTTGCACAGGTACCCAGTTTTGTTTGTGTAAAGGGCGCCAGCACGTAATGCACCACCTTTGACGGCGAGCATTCTCTGGTGATTACATAACTAAGCCAAACACGAGCCCGTCTTCTCACTGAGAGGACGCTTGACCCATCTTGACCCCACAGACGGGGGCAGCCAAACCGGCACAACCCAAAGCTCCGCTCCTTCAAATGTTTCTGGCGTTTCTGCTGCCTTCAGCTGCCGGCTGGCCAGGCCAACAACCCGCAAGCCCCTGCTGAAAACGTCAAAGTCTGTTGGCACAAACATTTTTTCAAATTCAACAGCTTGCACTATGGGTGCTCCACTCGGAGCATGCCTCTTCATGAGCCCTCCTTGGTTCCCACAGGTTCAATTCTTGCAAAACCCCCGCAAGTTGCAAGCCAAGGTTCTTAGTTTGCAATCGAAGTCTTGGCCTGTTTTGCACAGGCTCAAGATCTTCTCAGGAGCACCCTTGATGACAACTCTGCAAGGAAATTCCTGAACTGGCCGGGTAAAGCAGCATGAACCAAGTCCGGGCTCTAGGGCAAACCTTATCAACCTGCTGAGTCGTGACTAGACAGCAAAGCTCTGCCCTTGATGCTTCCACGCCCTTTTTGGGGACAAACCACTAGAAACAAAACTATGGGCAACAGATAGAAACCCAACAGCGGTTCAGAAAACCCTTTTCGCTATAGCTGTACGCTTGGTCAACCACGCTGCGGTGGATATGTGCATCGAGTCGGCCTGGCTCTTTGTGACCAGCGGGACTCACGTGGCACCTACTCACTCGGGCTGCTGTTCTACAAACGCTCGCAGGGACAGTATGGTTCCCTGCGTTGCAAGGTCGAGAATCGAGAAGGCCACGGGCCACTGAGCCCTCAGGCCATCTGCGGGCATGTCCCTGGCGTCGCACCACAAAATTCTCTCAAGATCCGGCGGCCGCCTCAGCCACTTTAAGTGGACCAAGAGGCTACAGTCTTGCTGCCTGACAGTGCGTCAATCATCACGAGGACGTTCTCTGACAGCGTTCCTTCGTAGAGTTCCTCAAGTGCGAGCACTGCCTGGTCTATGGCATCATGGTGCGAACAGCTCGCTCGCGAATGTGAATCGCGTTACACGCTGTTGGGCCTTTGAGGGGGCCTCCTTCAGGTAGGCGCTTGGCTTGCGTTGCGGTCATTCTCAAATTGATCATGCCTCGAACGCTGAGGCCATCACTGGAGCTCTCGGCTCGAAAGCCTGAGTCCAGCCACCTGAAGTGCTGTAACATACGCGGCCGCAAACGGTCTTGTGAGGAGACCGTAGACCACTGTCACGAGCAGTGACAGGAAGTGCCTGCGCTCTTGTTCATGGAGAGTTCCATCTTGGAGAGTGTTGGTGGGTACTGGCATTGGCCTTATGGCGCTGATGAACTTTTTTGGTTGAGTGAGTGTGATCTGGCGTGAACTTGCATCTTGCTTATGTTCCACTCCACAGAAAGTGAAATGGTTGCGATACCTCGATAGCGCCAAAAGTTTCCCCTACCTATTCGATGAAACTATCCACTAACGCACGAGGTCCTGCTAGCTTCAAGTCATCCACGTGTTTGATGAGCAGCATTACGACCTCGCCTTGAGCGTTGCAGGAACTCCCATGCGGAATCCATTTGGGATGATCGGAAGCCGAAGGCTTCAATGACCTGTCTTAGACGGGCATTGAATGCTTGTGGTGCATGTTGGCATCCAGCGCCGGGCTTCAAGCACTGAAGAGAACCTCCTCTTGGGGAGAGGATTGGAGGAATCATATCCTTTCAGCAGCAAAGGCATGGCACGGCTTCTCCAACCAGTTCGAAGACATTCCGGCGGTGCGACGTGCCAGTTCCTCCTTGCTCGCGCCCTTACAATGCGAGAACCCCGTCCTGGCATAAGCGTGTTCGAATGAAGCCCTTGCTTCCTTTGACTTTCCACTTGTACATTGACGTGGTGTCTATCAAGTTGGTGGCTTCGCGGCGTTTCTGCCGAGTGAAGCCGCAAAAGTTTTGCCATGTTTTCAGCTCATAAATGATGGCTTGGGTCACCAAGGCATGGTTTTCCTCAACTTCTTGGGGTGTGAGAAGGTCATCATTCCTTTCGATGACTGCCTTGCGAGTGTGTGTGGTGTACACTCGAAGCTCGACGGCTCTTGGTGGCCGATCAAGTCCATCTAAAAGTTTCCAGCATGGGCATGGGCCATCAGCTTCGACCTGGTCACCAACTGTGTACTCGGGCTGTTCGCCAGTTGCTCTAGTGACCGTCTTAAAGGCTCTAGTGATGCGGTGCTTGGCTGCGCCACTTCTGGTGGCTGTGCCCCGAAGAAGGGGCTCCAGTGTCATCGGCGACAGCCATCACATCTGGCAGCATCGGCTGCACGCGCCCGAAGACTGCTTTGAACGGCGTACACCGCCTCGGCAAGAATTCGGCTCAGGCATCTGAGAGCCGATCTTGTGTACGCAATCTCTCAACACCTGAGTGATCCTCCTCCACCAGCAGACTAAGGACTGCCAGCTGAAGGTCCTGAAGCTTGAGCCGTGGCCAGAGCTATCGCGAAGGCGAAAGAGACTGCAGCAGCTTTGACGTCGGATCTTTCACTGCGCGGAATTCGCTTCATTTATGAAGCTGGCGAGCGGAGGATCATCCGCTAGCTTCGCATCAGGCGGCGGCGATGGCATGCAAGCGCTGGTCGCACGCGCCACATTCTGAACCTGGAACGCCATCCAAGACGTTGGACCCTATTGAGGGATCGAATAGTGGACGCCTGCCGCGTGTGCAGTCAGTGGGCGAGGCAGCAGCCGACTCGTGACTGGGTTCAACATAGAGGTCGAGGGCGACCTGATCTTCATCAAGTCAGGACGCACACAACACGTTGTACTCCACCTAGTGGACCGTGGTACTCGATGGGCCATGGCAGTAGAACTGACCGGCCACTCGACCGCAGAAATCCTCCACGGTTTGGACCAGTGGATGGCCATTGTGCAAGTGCTCATCTTCGATGGAGAGCAGGGCCTGAACGATGAAGAAGCCACCATCTTGCGAGGTTAAAGGCGTCGCCGCCCGAGTCGTGGACCGAAGGAGGGCGCGAGCTGGATGAGCTGCTTCTGTTGGCTGTTCCTCTGCACGGACACGTGCATATGGCTGAGGTGATGGCGTGCCTGCAGTCAGCTCCGAAGGTGTGAGTGTTTGAAGACCTTGGGCGGAACACGTGAGTGTCTGGCGTCTTGCGTGTAGGCGCCACAAACAGCCTTTGCATTTGCGCCACTGCATGTCCTCGGAAGCTGGCCCGTCAGTTCCATCAGATGTGCCCGTGGCTACTGTTGGATATTTGAACTCAAAGTCGCTTTTGCGAAGGTGCTTGAGCTCAGAGACCACTAGGCGTTCTACGCCGTAGGCAGGTTTGGAGCACATTTCATATGCCACTTTTGCGCCCGCTTGGCGGCCTGTCCGGTCAGCACTGCGTGTCTATACGCTGACCTGTGCAGCTGCGCATACTTTACCTACGAACGGCTGCAGGAGTTCTGCGGACTTCCTTGCAGGACCGCGGTTGGTGTTGGCCCACTTGGCATTGGTCAAAGGCTATGCTTTTACAACTCTTGGGTCGGCCAAGGTGCAACTTTGAACACTGTGGTTCCGTGAGGCTGCTCGCACAGGAAGTGCCTATTGCGGCGCAGTTGGTACAACGCTATCTCGCCACAGAATCTGGCGATCGGTTCTGCAGATCGCAGTGATTCGGCCCAGATGGAGAATAGGGAGTGCAAACAGGCGCCATCAGCACAACTAAAGACGTACCTACTTTTAAATATTCGAGAACTATACTTTGGTTTGTGGGTGACCTTAGGTCGGTGCCAGTGAGCAGCTCGAAGTTGTGTCCTGCTCGAAGTCGTCTCTTAAGGAGGATCTGGCTCGCGAGGGCATGGCCTTTCGAGATTTCAACACGTTCAACACCCCATGGCCAATTGAGCGGCGTCTTGTCGTCGAGTATATCTAACATTTCTTCGACGTCGCATGCAAAGAATGTGTTGGCACCCAGGTTGGATGGCTCGTCGATCTC